CCCCAAAACCCCAAAACCCCAAAACCCCTGGAAGCCTCACTAATAATGATTTATAATTACGAATAATTAATTAAAAATCTAATGAGAGCCATCAATGTGATCCCTTTGTGTAACTTAACCCGGTCCTTTACTAAAGGAGAACGGGTTCTGGAAAAGAAGCAATTCCTTAAGAAAAAAGACAAGCTAAAGGAAACTGGCAGGAACGTAAAACATGTAAAATATTTGGTATTCTTAGTCCAGATCACTAAGAGCAGGTATACAAAGTACATCCTAGAGTGGCTCAAACAGGCGAAGGATCAGCATCTCAAAGGGCTGAGGATTCTTAATAAAATCATCAAGAACAAAGGAGACACTCAGGAGTTCAATAAGATCTCTAAAAGTAAGTATTTGATAACTTTTGATAATTTTTGCTATAGAAAGTTCAAAGAAGACTAATCTAGCTCAGTCCTTACTACATTCTAGCTTACAGGAGTATTCTCAAGAGAAGTATAAGACTAGTTATCGGAAAAACTTCTGTGAATTAGATTTTTCCCCAGAGAAAGAAGTTCTAGCAAAAAGAAAGTTTACAGCCTTCCCATGAATAAATTTTATTTCAAATAAATTTCAGAAGTGACTTGACAAATGGATATCCAATGGTGCTGATCTAAACGCAGCAATGTTTGTTCTCCATACACTTCAGGATATCTGGAGAATATGAGAGGAGAAAGATAACTCAATAGAGTACTCTAAACCTCCAGTGTCGTTGAGTAGGGGAACCTACAAAAGTTTTCAACCTAAAGATTACCTTCAGAATAAAAGTCTCAATAGATATATTACTCATCGGTCAAAATCTAGAAATAACACTTCCAATACGGTAGAGATTGGACAGTATTAGTTCTTCTTAATGTGTTTAGGAACTCAGAAATAAAGCAGAAGCCTGAGCTAATGATTTCACCACAAAAAAGGTGCAGACTAAATATCCTTAAACAAGTAATTTCTTGTGCATAATATTCAGAACTCGGCTGAAAGGTGCAAAATACAACACCAAAAGTTGTTAAAAGGGAAGAAAGACCTCCTGTGTTACACTCAGAAGGCCATTGAGAAGAACACTTCAGAGTACAAGAAGTCTTACAGCCCCATATTCAGACCCCTGACTAGCAAAGTAGCTGGTTGTTTAATCAAAAGATCTAATTTTATTACAGGAGTCACTAATTCTTTGGTTCCTGATCCTTACCTTTACAAGAAGACTCAACAGAAGTACTCTGTGTACCAGGATGAAATTATATTCAGAAGTAAGACTAGCAGTATCAGTAAATCTTTCAGAAAGAGTAGGCAAGATTTCAATACAACTATTCCTTCAAGGCTGAAGAGGATAAACTATAGCATTGAATAAATTCAGAGTATTTTCAATATTAAATTAGATCTAAGGGGTTTTGGGGTTTTGGGGTTTTGGGGTTTTGGGGTTTTGGGGTTTTGGGGTTTTGGGG